ACCCAACTTCGTAAGAGTACACGCATGCGAAGAAAAGTTATTAGATAGGAAGCTCTTGATTTCAGAAGAACTTAAATATATTGTATAACATATGTACATATCTATATGCGTTTGTAACTTTTCCCATATTCATGAATTAGATGTATGGATTTTTTTTGCGTCATCGTAAATGAAGGGTGGAGAAGTGTTATATATTGAATACAAATTTAAATCACCCTTAGTTTCGAAGACTTTAAAATAAAATAGTTTTTAATGCAACTATGCATAAAATTAGATTAAGTAGATTATAATACAACCCTGTAATGAAATGACATTCAATTTGAATAAATTTGAGCTAAAGCATAGCCCTGTAACTATTCGGTACTCACTCAGTTACTTCACGTATCCACACCACGGTCTCTGCAAGTGGTGGATAGCCATCCCGAGTGGAAGGTGCAACCATTGAAGATAGGCTTTACAGCGCTAACTGCGTTGCTCCTGGCCGCCCTGAGGAAGGTTTTTTGGATGGCTCTGAGCTCATCCGTTAACCACACGGTGGTTGGATAGTCCTCTGGGATTATACCCAGCTTCCCTCCGTACAGTGCATCCCTAAAAGAAACCGGCCCACCGCGACAATCTGCAGGTACATGAGCAGGCATGGGCAGAGAGTTAGCAGGTGCTAAAAGAGCGTCGCATGTACGTATACAAGCGAGAGCGCAGCGATGAGAACACGACAGCATGCAAAATTAATTAGGCACACTAACACATGCTCACTTTTCGTTTACGCTTATTTGTGGTAGTGCCCACCTCTGTACATGAGGCACAGTTGTCTTAACTATGGGCACAGATGCAGTCCCAACAGGCCTGCCGGTCTCGCTCTCGAGCTTGATACGGTGCGTTGTTCACCGGAGAGGCAAGCACCTTCTGCTCATCTTCCGGCGAGATGTCAGATTGCGCCCTGTCTCACGCTAGTATCTACCATTCTACATCATACGAGGGACAGTGCACCCCCAGTAGTTCTATAGCGATGGTTTCTGTTTCGACCGAAGTCGCTGTTTCGGCCAGCGTTGGCCTCTGTTTGGAGCCGTGCAGCTCCTTCTGGCTTTTGGTTTCCGTAATTTTTACTGTTCATGTGTAGCCCACGTATATGGGGGAAGGAATGTCAGCTGGAACATAACCCCCAGTATCCCGAGCAGGACTTCTCACAGCCAGAGGGTGCCAGGTATTTGGAGGCCACTGTTATAATAGTGCCATTCATCCCATAAGCACGGTACGGATGACACTCGGAACTACGGGTGTTATCGAGTTGTCCTCTCTAGATATGCCATATTCAGTAAAAGCAGGGGCACCTCTCGCAGAGTGTGACTCGTCGCTACGTATGGCCGGTCTTGAGCCATCCGTTCCTGATTCAGAACATTACAACACGTATGAAGCAATATCACGAGCCTTAACCCCCAAAACTGGATGTATGTATAAATATGTATAATCAGTGACTGTAAAGAATTGAATTCTTGTAAAAATTACATAACATTGCTTTAACGATTTTTTTTATAAAGTTTTTGTTTATGTGTTTAAATGATTCCACGACCTTGGTTTTAAACTACGTACACTTCATTAAATGTTAATGTTTTGTTCAAGGACTTACATATTTATGTAAGTTAACAAGAAGATAAACTACATCAATAATTATTACCTTGTTTATACCGACACATAAAGCGCTTTGACCCAGTTCGCTGTGATTCAAAACGGATGCATAAACTAAATTTCAAAACGCGTTGAAATTGAAAAGTGTATTGACTTTTAATTTGTTTTCAAATCGGCTTTTTACTTCTCTCATCACAAGCATTTCCTGGTATTATTTTTGAATATCTAAGCAAAATTTGCCCCTACCTGGCTACGCCTATTCAGTCACCACTTAATCGATTTCTCTTTTAATTCTGCTCATTTATTTATACATTTGTCTATATCTCTCTGCATTCGTTTTGCCTGTTACAAACAACCGTTATGTGAACAAAGTTATAATACCCTTGTGCAAAAGTGCGCTCGGGTATAAAAATTAGAAGCACATGATATAACTTTTAGCTCAACAAATATCAGTTAGAAATTACTTGTTTAACTTTTGTATGTGAATTTTACTAATTTCTTAGCTAAAATCACTAGACTAAGAATTTGAATGTATGAAAAACACGCGTTTTCAGATAATTTTGAATTCGGCAACCTGAAGTTTACTTATACATGAAAAAGTGTTAAACTCCGCTCCCTTCTTCCTCACTCTTTATATAGTATCTATATAACTTTTAGCTCAACAAATATCAGTTAGAAATTACTTGTTTAACTTTTGTATGTGAATTTTACTAATTTCTTAGCTAAAATCACTAGACTAAGAATTTGAATGTATGAAAAACACGCGTTTTCAGATAATTTTGAATTCGGCAACCTGAAGTTTACTTATACATGAAAAAGGTTAAACTCCGCTCCCTTCTTCCTCACTCTTTATATAGTATCTTAAACGCAAGACAGACGGACATT